TATTAGCAAGAATTACATTTTTTCACCTTGAATGAAAATCTAACCATACTGTGCCATGCATGTTTATACCCAGAGAACACAGCAGTGCCACGCATAGGAGAGACCACCAATTCTGTACAACAATTCTGTACAACAAAACAGGTGGATAAACGTTTGCATCTCGGGCACTGCAAGACACCCAAGAATTGTGTATGCAACGAGTAGCCTGCAACGACCAACTAAGGCCTGCCTGTGGCAGCACGTCTCCTCTCAAAGTCCTTCCTTCTGATTCAACACGTGAGTGAATGGAGGGAGAAAGAATAAAAACAAGCCTCACCTGGGGCGACTCTCACTTTCTCACTTAGGGCTCTCCGAGCCCCGGGGCGTTAATGCTGCAAAAGTTGGAGGATGCTGCCCCTGCTGGCCGATCCGGGGCACTGGCGGAGGTCACGGAATCCCTAAAGGCAATGACAGGTGGCCTGTAACCCGCCGTTCCTACTTTTCCTGAGAACTTACCCTATTACTTAAAAAAAAAAAAATTTTTTTTATTAATAGGAGGAGAGACATAAAGATCGTCTATCAGCTGGTTCACTCTGCAAGTGGGCGCAATGGCTGGATCTGAGCCAATCTGAAGCCAGGAGTCAGGAACTACTTCCTGGTCTTCATATGCATATTAATGTTTTGGTAATGGCACAAAAATTCTCATGATTTTATTTTCACAAACTTTTTGAATTATTCTTCAGTAAAGTATTCCTCAGTTACTATGGCTGTGTTCACTTCTGGCATAATTAAATTTTAATTTTTAATAATTCATATTTACCTATTTCTTTTTCAAAAGGTTTCTCTCATTTCCTTTTTAAAAATTGATTTATTTTTATGGAAAAGCAGGTTTAGAGGCAGAAGGAGAAACAGAAAGCTCTTCCACCTGCTGATTCACACCCCAATTGGCCACATCAGCCACAGCTGAGCCAAACTGAAGCCAGGAACCAGGAGCTTCCTCGGGCTCTCCCACGCAGGTGCAGGGGCCCAAGGCTTGGGGCCGTCCTCCCCTGCTTTCCCAGGCTGCAGGCAGGGAGCTGGATGGGAAAGTGGAGCAGCTGGGACACGAACCAGCACCTTGTGGGATCCCGGAGCTTGGAGGCAGAGCATTTATTGATGCTCATTTCTTGATTTTCCTGTCATTGGACCATACAACTTCTTGGTTTGGATTTTACAACTTGAAAATTCCTCCTTTTGTGATTTGCTTTCAGATCCTCTCCCCTGGGCGCAGCTGAAGCTTCTGGAAGCTGGGGCTGCGTTCTGTGGTCTTGAGCCTCATGCAATGTGTAAACTGCAGCGGGCAAGCGCTACAGGATAGTACTGGTGCGCCACCCAGTGGCAAAAGGTGCTAACGCACACCCCTGGATAAACCTCCAAAATTGGGAGGCCTTTTTTTTTTTTTCTTCCAGCGCTTGGATTCAAGCAGAAACCAGCCCCTCTGGAAACCCCTTCTAAAATCAGTATATTGTATTGATTTTCGACTCTTCCATGGAAGAGATAGGAGTTGGGGATTTCCGCCCAACCTAGCTGTGCCATGAGGTCTCCCATGGACTTGGATTCTGTCTATACTGGAGGGGGATTAGTGCTATTCTGACGGCCGCGCACATCCTTCTCTCCACACTGCACAGGACCCTGGGTTGCCCGTTTTCTTGCCTTCACGCCCACCCATACACCCAAACCTACGCTTGAACTTAGGATGATATCCCAAAGATTGTCATCACACAATTCTATTTTTCATTGACTCATTGCTTATATGTAGCTATAAGAGTTTGCACTCTTTTCAACTTACGCGTGGCAATTCTATTAGCTAAGTCTTAGGATTTCTCGTCCCCTGTTGTCTATGTCATTTTCCATATCTCTTAAGGTCTTCACAACTCCCAGAATTAGATACTTATTTTTGTATACAGGTAAAAGGAGGCATGGGTCAGGTGTAGGTTCTTGTTCTGTGTAGTGTCAACAGCATGTGTAAAGAGATGGATTTGGGGGCTCAGCATGGTAGCCTAGTGGCTAAAGTCTTTGCCTTGCACGCATAGGGATCCATGTGGGTGCTGGTTCATGTCCAGGCAGCCCCACTTCCCATCCAGCTCCCTGCTTGTGGCCTGGGAAAGCAGGCGAGGACGGCCCAGAGCCTTGGGACCCTGCACCAGCATGGGAGACCCGGAAAAGACTCCGGACTCCTGGCTTCAGATCGGCGCAGCTCCGGCTGTGGTGGCCACTTGAGGAGTGAATCAACAGACAGAAGATCTTCCTGTCTCTCTTTCTTTCTGTATCTTTCTAAAATAATAAATCTTTTCAAAAAAGGAGATGGGCCTCATGAGGCCAGGCTTCAGATTTTCCCCCTTGAACAAGGCTTTAGGAATTGGACATCATGTAGTGGACTAAAGGCTGCTGGCCATCATACCCCACTCGGACTTGACAGTGGCTCTGTAGAACACGCTCAACTTCCTGACATGGGTGGCCAAATGACAGCTCATGATGGCAGCTGAATTCACTCAGGAACCCTTGGTCTCTGCTAGCATCTCATCAGCCCAGAGGCATTTCTCAAAAGGAGGTTTATTCTCCCAGGAGCAACTGGCTTAGCTCCACGACCCCAGCACTTCCGCTCTGCTTTTTTTTTTTTTGCTGCTGGAGGCTGACCCTGCTCCCAGCCACATGTACCACAACTCAGGGCAGTAACCTACTTCATCTGCCTTACAACCACGGACTTAAAAGCGGTCAGGTGCAGTGTTGCTTATGCCTTGGAGGCTTTTACTGCAAGATGAATCTACTCAAAACTCGCCAAGTTTGGGTCACTCGGAGAACAGGAGGGACGAGGCAGGCCATCCCCCAGTATGCTCCACCGCACCATGGAACAAAGTGATTTTTAAGATAAAATCCAAACCACGTCACTCATAACCACCTTGCGTTTACTTGTAGAATTTGGGGTGTAAAAGATAACACAGGTGTTCTAGACCAAAAATACTGTATTACAAATGCAGTCCTGTTTTTACTTTTTCTCCGTATTAGGACTAAAAGTCTTCCTCCTTTTTTGTATGGACTCCTGGCATTCACTGATAAAATCTATCATTTCAGTAGTTTGTACACACACACACACACATCTCAGAAATTGGACAATGGATGGAAAGGTTTTGGGTATTTGTACTATTAGACAATAGCTGGCAAGCTGCTCACCACTGGAATTATGCCAAGTTAAAATGCCACCAGCAATGCAAAGACAGTTAATTAGCACGAGTTTCTGCAACCTGAACTTTTCATCAATTTTCATATTTTAAATCAGCCTTGAGAATCTTGGTTGAGTTCTATACCTAAAAGCCTACAACAGCGACAGGCCAGCACAAAGGAGCCAGGGGACCAAGCTGGGTCTCCTGTCTGTGGCATCAGACCTGTGGTGTCCAGAATGCACATCAGCAGGAAGGCAGGAGCTGGCACTGCAGCCAGTCCCCAGTGGGATCTGGGAGTCCCAAATACTATCCTAACAGCTCCTACTCCAAACGGTCTCTGCCAGGTTTCTTGGCATAGAGCTGCACGCCACGGTTGATTCAGACTGTGGCTGAACTGTCCTGTGTTTATCGTGGCTAAGATGTGCTAACAGCTCAAAGTCATGTATGAGTTGCTGCCTAAGAATTCAGGCACCACGTTAGTAGCTGTGTCCACAAGCCAAGCCTAGCTCTGCAGCCGGAACAGAACTGCTCCTCCATCCACAGAAAGCAATGGTATGTGACATCATATTCCTTGTTTCTGTGCGTTTGGCTGAAGTGAGAAGGAATGGAAAACTGCCACAAAGAAAATATATTCTTCATATAATTACATCCAAATAATTTTGCCATTTGAGCGTGTTCTGTTAGGCGTTTTGTCTTGTTAATTCTGAGAACCTTAACATTAGGTCTCAGATGAAAAGCTGTGAGAGTGGCAGTGATGACTCAGCCGAGTTCCACCAATTCCCACGAGACCCGGGTCGAATGCCCACCTCCTGGCTCTCGTCCTGGCCCAGCTCCAGGAACTGCAGGCACTGGGCGAGTGAACCCGTTAGTTGGTGGGAGTTCTCTCTCAAACAATCAAATTTAAAATAATAGTGTCTAAGTTCAGATAGCTGTGACCTGACGTAATTATCAAGTTTATGCAATTCCTGTCAAATTACCAAGATCTCCAAATAACTCAAGTGACTGATACGCTATCTAGTTTGAAATTTCTTTTTTTCTTCTCAGAAAGAGCTACACGGAACCTTGTAATTCCCACGATTCGGGTCATCCTATAAAGTATTTCATGAAATACTGACAGGGTCTGTTTTCCTTCTGGCTCAGAGCATGAGTCACCATGTCCCGGGGGCGTTAGCACATAGTGGGCAAAATACGCACTCGCTGTGTGTTTGCTGAGAATAAGTGACATGCCAACTGTGAGCCAACGCATGGCATTTCAACTACATGCAGTCCACGCACTTCAGCACCGTCGGGGACGACCACACTGCTTGGGTGGTCAGTCTGTCCGTCTGAATTCAGGAAATCTATGGCACTGAGCCATAAAAGGAAGTGTTGCATCAGATTTAGGAGAAATGAACCTTTAGTGCATAAAAGCATCATCTTTCATATAACTTTTCATAGAAATTCAAAATAAGTTGCATTCCAAAAAACTACAAAAATGTGATCAATAAAAGCTCATTTCTGGTATCACAAAGGTTTTTGCTTCTGATAGCAATTATGAAACTCATCACTGGACATTGTAAGTGCACATTACTGAAATAGCTGAAATGACCCGGGTCACTTGCAAATGATAAAAAGGGATCTTCAGCGAAAATCCATCAAAACGTTTCTGACTTTTATTAGTCATTCACAAAACTAACTTTTTTGTCTACAATAACTTTGCTTTGGTCTCTGGAAGACACTGGGCCTTTGACTGTGCACCTCGCTAGACAAAAGACCAAAGTGACTGTGCGAAAGAGCAACATTTCTGTGCATTTTAATAAAAAAAAGAAACACAAATATTAGAGCATCACATATTTAATGTCAGAATCTGAATTCAAGTACAAAAATTAACACATGATTTTAACATTTAAAAACTGTTAACATTTCTTATTAAATACAGTGAATATCAAAAACACAAATGAAGCACAACTATAAAAACCTTAAATACATTAACAGCAAAATTATAATTTATTTCTGTAACAAATAGTTACTAACTAAAACATTTACAGTTACTTACAAGGACCACAGTGCTAGGCTGTGTTCTCTTTAGTACTGCACAGAGTCTGCTCCTTAATCTTTTTGCCTCCTTCATTCTTTCTACATAATAGTTAGATCTTCCTGGAACACAGCTGCTCTAACCTCCAGCATGGGGAGTGATCCTTGGTAATCAAATCCGGTGTAACTATTCCTTTCCAGTGCCACAGTAAGTGTGTAGTGCTATCCAGCAAAGTTACCTTGCAAGAAATTAACATAAACCGCTGTGGGTTCCACTGCCCACTTAGAAGAAAATTCCAAAAGTTTAAAAAGAACAGTAGCTTGCTGTGCCTTTATCAAAAGAATCCACTGAATAATTCTTTAAACTTCGCATATCTTCAATATTACAATTCTGGTTTTCTGAATTATAGCTGATGTTTACACGTTGAATATTATTATCTTTGTAAAATCACATGGGCAAACCCAATTCTAAAATAAGACAGTATTTTAGTTTGCACGCTTTACACAGAGATTTTCATATGTACGTTTACAATATTTTCTTCAGAAGAACGAGGCCTGATTGGAGATGAACAGTCGCTGTCCAACATGGCTGCCATTAGCAAGTGAGACTGTTGGTGACAAGGGATAGCTCGGATAAGAATAAGGCCTTGCGGTACAGGGAAGCAGGCTGGGAGTCCCAGACGACAGGGTAGCACTAACGGGGGAGAGACTACTGATTGAGCTGCGGCGGGAAGTGTGGTCTGTAAACAGATACATGAGCAATTACGGGACACGTCTTCATGGACAGAAATTTAATTCAAAGGCACAAAGCATTCAAACTATAATCACACTTTAACATAATACCCAAACCTTCAAAATACCGCTGCTGTCTCCTGGTGGAGGGGTGCTTCAGCACCCACTGCACGGCGAATCCTGAGGGTTTAGTCAGTATTATGCTTCCTTCCCGTATGTGATGCTTCAGCGACCTCACCACTGAATTCTGACATATTATTTTGATTACAGAAAAAGAACCGCTAATCACTCCTGCTCCTCAAAGAAGCTGCCTTCTCTTTTTTAATTTGGTACTGACACTAAGGGGTAGTCCACGAGGAAGTGACAAAAATCAGCGAATTCATACTTGCTTCTTTTGTTTTGAAAATGTTATAGACATCAAACCAACAAAAACATTTGGACTGCAGAAAACATTTGGTGTAAACTAACTGCCTAATATTTCATTATTTAAATACTATCATAAACAAAGATGTAGCTTAAAATATCAATTTAACATTGGATTCCTATTGATATCACAAAACAGTAAAATGTATCATCTCCATAAAATGAACTTCAAGAAACCATTATCAACGTATAGCATAGAGAAATAGCCAACAATTATACCAAATTACTTTAAAAATTGTATTTCAAATATTACTATTTCACAATAAACATTCATCTATGCAACAATAATTTTCTGCTTCATTAATTAGAATTTTAGATACATATCGGTGTGTAAAGACCAAATCTGAAAATCCTACACTTTCCAAAAACTCAACTATGTTTCTCTGGTGTAGAATAAGCCAAGAATGTAATAATGAGTATTAAATGATTACGTTTTAGCACTTCTGGGGATAGAAGAAAAGAAATTAGGTCATCTAATCTACAGTTGAAGTTTGTTTGGTTTTCTTTCTTCTGTAAGGGAGGCCTAAAACACCTGAGCAGTAACTTAATGCGGCCATGGACCTAACATGTAGCCAACAGGAATGAGACCAACGGCAAAATAAGCTCAAGCAACATCAGAAAGGACCTAGTTAAGAAAAAAAATGAAACAATCAGTTAAAACCAGGCTTCTAACACTGAAAAGCTTACTTAAAATAATTTAATAACCTTTTCATTTTTATCAGTGGTACCATAAGAGCAGTAAGGAAACTTGTTTCATGTACACATCAATTTCGTTCAAGTATCCAGTTAAAGCCACTCCCAGTGTTTTACAGTTGGATACCATGTGCTTTTCTAACACAGGAGAGGGAATGACACAAGTGTTGCTGCTGTGAAAAGATGCACTTTGCACACTGCTTCAAGGGACACAGCACTAGCAGGAAGCTGAAACCTTCATGCTTCCGGGTAGTTCCAGGAACTAGCTACAAGGAATTCCTTCGCTTCTCACAAGTATTATGCACAATCAATTCTTTATTAGCCATACGTACTTAGGATAAAACTAAGCTCTTTACACTTCCATGTGATTACTGAGTTAGAACAGAAGATTTCTGCCAGTAGGGCAGGGTATGTTTTCAAAAACAAATGTTTGCTTAGACTTGACATCTAACATCTACTCATTTGAGAGGCCAGGCAGCTTGCTCCCGGCATGTCGAGACAGATCTCTTCAGAAATGTCAGGAAGTCAGATTTTTAACAAAATTAAAAGGTTGACTTTGAACTCAGCTTACACAGGATAAGGAAAAACAAAATTCTAACACTATAAGAATAGAACACAATAGGATGCATGTAATTAGATGGTCAAAAAAGTTCAGAAATATTTCAAAAATGAATGTTAGCACTTAAACCAATAGAAATGCATTCAAGAAAACATTAACCAAACTAAGTCATGTGCACTAAGCATGCTCAGCTAGTGGAATAAACCTACAAGTATAATCGTGGTGTCGTCACACAAACATGTCAGCTACATATCAAATAAAATGAAAAACAGAAATTTTCATTAACTTTAAACAAATGATACAGGAGCGAATGAACCACCATTCCTAGTATACACTTTCTTCCGATGTGCACCCTGGCTCTTCAATTCCCTGGTTTCTGCCTCAGAATGGGTCTGCACTACTCTAGTTGCCCTCTTAAGGAATGGTTAACAGTCAATTTCAGAATTTAAGTTTTACACGAAGTGTTAATTCAGCTGTCTTAGCAGTTTAAAAACTGAAGCATAATTTACCTGCAATAAAATGATTGTTTCCTATTGTTTTTCTGAGTTTTAATAATTTTATAAATCCAGGCAACCCACATCCAAACTGCAGGACACACCAGTCCAGATAACTGGTCATCCCTTTCAGGTTTGGAGCCAACTACCCCCCCACCATCGCCATGGAGCCAACTACCACCCACCATTGCCATGGAGCCAACCACCACCCACCATTGCCATGGAGCCAACCACCACCCACCGTCGCCATGGAGCCAACCACCACCCACCATTGCCATGGATTAGCTTTTCCCATGTTTGACTTTCATAGGATGGATTTTTAAGATTTTAAAAAATGTTTAGCTGTCCTCTCTCAATATAATCTAGAACTTCTTTTCCATGTTTTTTGCATTATTTTAGTTTCTCCTTTTTATTATTTTTCTGTTTACTTAGTAACGAATATTTTAATTGTAAAGTTTGACTATTTTAAAATCAGCAACATTCTGAGAACTATATTCTGGTTACACACCTTCATCTATTTTGGGAAAAGACTTGGAAATGTCACCCAGGTGAGACCCCGATCTGCTGCCACCTGAGGAGTGAACCGGTGGGTGAAGGTCTCTCCCGTTCTCTAATGCTGCCTTTCAAATTACTCAATTAATTATTCTTAAAAAGTGCTGCTCGCCGCAAGTGTCATCTCAATCAGCAAACATTTGTGTATTAGTACTTGAATTTTATCAAGTTGTAAAGGCAGTTCTGACACCATCATAACATATTTACATTTTTACACTAAGAATCAGATCTCTAATCTTATAACACGTTTGATTTTCATAAGTATGGTTTGAGGAACTGATCTGAATTTTTATAACAGTTATTTTAGGTTCTGTTACTATTTCATGAACAATGAGGAAATTGAGGCACAAAAGATGAAGTAACACTCGAAACCTCAGAACCAGCACGTGGGTTACTTCTTTTTGAGTAAAAACTATAAAGAGAAGTTTGCATAGTAATAATATTTATCTAAATGACAAAGCCACCTTTGCCTCCTATTAAAACTTTTTTCCTATACCTCACTCAGAAAAAAAAAAAAGTGAGTCCCAGTAAATGGAACTGCTCTAAGCTGCCCCACTGAAATTTAAGTTAACACAATTGAAAGAAATTACCAGTCCTGTTTGCAGAAAAAAAATTCACAAACATTAAGTAATCTACATAAAATGCCCTCCCTCCATCTGTATCTAATTTACAATAATGTTTACCATCTTGGTGGTTCAATGTACACTTGCATGTTAAAGGTTTGAGAAGACCTGAAACATGGAAAACAACTTCCATTTACAAAATTTTGCAGCGTCTATAATTAATACAGTTGTGATAATAATTCTCAAAATTTTCACTGTGCAATTTTACCTATTTCTCTACAGCCAGAGATTGACTGACTTGCTTTAGGAATCAAATATCTCTTTAATATCACTACGAGACTTCCTCTTACCTGTTTATTTCCTCCAGAGCCTTCTGCACAGGTCCAGGCTGAAGAGGCTGTGCTCCCTGTCTGTAAGCAGTGAAGACAGAAAAGAGTTGAGTCTTTACACTGGTGTTACCCCTACTGTGGAAAGGCATGGAATCCTTGAGAACTTTACTTAAAACCTTTTGGTCAGTAAAAAAGAAAAAAAAAATAGAGAAAATGAAATAAGTAGCAACGATTATCATTTCTAAAGTTCTGTAAAGATGAATAAAGAAAAAATATTTTGGTATTTAAGTGAATATTTTCAGCTTAAAAATTTCTCTTCCTAAATAAACAAAAAAAAATTTAGCTTGTATTTCCAACTAACACACATTATGAATTTTAAAAAAGAGTTTCTAAACAAACGCCAGTGCAACCCGCGCCAGGCAGTCGAGCAGCCAGGCAGACCTGGGCACAGGACCTCACACGCCGCTTGAGAGCTAGCGCACCACACCGTCACCAACGGGTCCCCTCTGCACAGATAATATTAGCAACACGTCCAATAAAAATATTTAAAGATAGAAATAAAACAGCCTGGAAGTTAATCCTCGAAGGATTCTGGTTTTTTGGCACAAATTTATAGGCTGGTTTCTAACATCCGTACGGATATAAAAAGACTGAGAACAACTACGAAAATTGTGGAGAAAGAGATATTCTGTAATCAAATACTGAGACTCCGTGAAGTTACACAACTAAGTAAATAAACAGTTTTAGTACAAGGAAAAACAGATCAATTTAAGAGAAAATTACAACTAAGTCACGCATGTACGGATGAATATGACTGACACTCCAGAGCTCCAGGGAAGTGTCGTCTTCGGTACAGGGACTGTACAGAAGTCAAAGTCCACAGGGAGAGGAATAAAACACCGGACACTTCATTCAAAAACCAAGCTTCTAGAACCCAGCGCCACAGGAAACTGCTTCACGATCTTCAAGTTAACTAGTGATTTCTTAAGTAGGTTATCAATCACATTAATGGTAAAAAGACAGACTACAGTAAAAAGCATCTATTTTCTCAGAAGAATATATAAAAGGTAAATCATACAGTAGAAAAATGGGTTTTCCAAATCAAAGTCCACCAAATGGCTCATCCTGGGAAAGCAAACACACAGAGAACCAGACAAACCAACAGGAGGAAGAGGCAAGAGGGTTGAATGAGAAAGATACGCATCAAGAGAACAGCCTAATGTACCACAGCCCTTTAGCGTTAGTTAGAGTTACACGGGGGCTGGCCCGTGGCATAGAAGGCTAAGCTTCCACCAACAGTGCCTGCATCCCACATGGCACTGGTCCGAGTCCCAGCTGCTCCACTTCGGATCCAGCTCCCCACTTGCGGCCTGTGAAAGCAGCAGAGGCTGGCCCAAGTCCTTGGATCCTTGCACCCAAGTGGGAGACCTGGGAGAAACGCCTGGGCACAGTGGTTGTGGCTACGTGGGGAGTGAATTAGCAGGTGGACAATTTCTCTTTCTGTCCTACTCTCTGTAACTTTGCCTTTCAGATAAAAAATAAATAAATAAAATCCAAGAAAAACACAACTATAAAAGAGCTTCCAAAAGCCTACAGAAAATGTGTACATTATGAACAAACATGTATAAATTTCATATATTTAAAATATCATGAAAAGTGTTTTCCACTAGTTTTTTTGAAGTACTTGCATATTAATCAGAATATCCAAACAGAGAGTGCTGATACCTAAGTGTTTGGAAGAATGTAGAACCAAGGGAACTCCCAAACACTAGCTAATGTACACGCTGGTAGTAATTAGCACTGTCCACTAAAGTCTGAACCATATGACCCATCCTTTCTGTCCTAGACACTCAGTCGGAATGCATGCAGATGAACGCCAAATCAAATAACGTGTCGGAAAAACAATCATACCTTCATTACCCAAACACCTCATATTTTCATCAACAACATAAACAGCCTACACAGGACACATTTTTGATGGACTATTCGTATCAACGAGACAAAGAACAATACTGCCACATGGAAGCAACGTACATCAATCTTAGAAACACGCAGAAAACAGAGTATCTAAGATGTACAATTTTCAAAACTACATAGTCCCAAACGTGGTCTCGTCTGAGGGAAGCAAACCTCTGGGGGGCGTACAGAGCCTTTAGGGGGGCTGCTGCTTCGCACCTGCACCCACGCGGGGGCTGACACAGACTGTGCCTCCTGACAATAATCAGTTGAAGTTATATTCCTAATTTGTCCTTTCCACTTGTACTTTCACAAACTACAGAACACCTGTCAAAGATACACAGACAGGAGATGCTGAGAAACCACTACAGTGAAACATAAAATCACTAACAATAATAGCTCCATCAAAACACAGGTTTTACAAGATAAAAGCAATTCAGGCTATCTGAAAAACTACAGCTGTGATTTTCAACACAAAGGCTGACTGGAAATTGTAACATGAACGATTTATTTTCATAAGGTCTTCACTACCTATCATCTGCAGTTTCAATTAGCTTCTTGTTAACTGTTATGTGGAATCCAGTTTCAAAGGAAAAAAAAAATGTTAAGATTCAGATACTCCAGGACAATTAAACTTCTTGTTAAGATACAGCAGAAGTGGTTGTGAATCTCAGAGCAAAAACAAAAACTATCGTAAAGGTTGAATTTAATGTCAAACACAAGGTTGCTTATTACTCAGGCATTAATACAATTTAATTTATGTTCTTGTTGGTGTCATTCTTTAAAAAAAAAATACCAATCGCTAACAAATATATTCTCAGAAAACATTTGCAAAGGGATTATTCCATAAGAAAGACTCAGAGGAAAAGAAAAGGCATGAAGAGAAGCCATGAGTAAGAATAGAATAAATTAAATTTTATATTGAGATGTTTTGAATACAATCAGAATAAAATAGTAGGACTAACAGGACCAAGAAATAGGCATAGCATCCAAACATTTCGGATCAGAAGTGCTTTAGATTTTTGGACAGTAGCAGAAAATACTTTACCAGTCAGGATTCCTAATTAAAAACTCAAAATCAAAAATTCTGAATGGCACTTCAGAACTCAAGAAATTTGGGGGTACCTGCGTTGCAGCCTGTGTGTTACTTATTAGTAAAACACGGCTGCTGTGTGAGCCGGGCATCCAACACGAGTCTCCACTGCTCCACTTCTGATCCAGCTGCCTGCCAGTGTGTCCTGGAATGCAGCAGAGGCTGGCCCAGTCCCCAAACCCCTGCGCCCACCTGGGAGACCTCGGCAAAGTTTCCAGCCCCCGGCTTCAGACAGACTGACCCAGGTCCAGCCCTTGAGACCATCCTGGGATTGAGCCAGTGGACGGTAGAGCTCCCCTCTCTCTGACTTTACCTTTCAAATAAATACAGATTTTTTAAATGAAGTTTTGTATTTTAGATCAGTTTGGAGTCCAAGACAAGGTTGCTGATCCTATATAAACCAACCTTGACTGTTTGAAATTCTGTCCAGTCTCTGGAGACGGAAAACACATCCCAATGCCTCCTTCACATAGATGTGCTTTGTTGGGAATGCTCATCCTCCAGATTAAAATTAACACAGAATTTCAATGGAAAGAAATGGACAAACTGACCAGGACAGATACTGCATGAGGTATTAACTGAGACCAGTAGATACTGTTACTTAATTTTAACTAGCAAGTAGAAGCAATTGATGAATAATTTAAAGTGATTAAAAGAACTAAACAATTTCATCCCAATGAAGTCATTATTCTAAACCATCCTCGGCGTCATTCACTAGATTTACGCTGCTATTACTCACCGCTCAGACTGTACTGGACACTAAGTAACGATTAACAGGCTTACGAATATTATAGATCGCTCCTCACACAAATTGCTCTGATTTTAAAACAAAATATTAATAGTAATGAAGTAATTTCTAAGGAGCTAAAAAAAAAAAATCAATGGACCACTGAAATTCCTTTTAAAGTTGCATTTTTTAAAAAACACTTTAAGCAATATCATGTGGCCCAAAAATAGAACATATGCAGAAATTTTATCATGGAATTGGCCATGGATAAAAGCTCACAAACTTTACTTTTTAAAATCTAAACTTCAGTTACTAAATTTATTAATACTTACAATACTTATAATATTTAACAGCGAAAGCTACTTATATTAAAACTTATTTATATTAAAGATATTAAAAAATTCTCAGGTAAACAATCATTAAGGTTACATAAATCAATACAAGAAATAAAATTCCTAATAATAACGTTAAGAAGTTAATAAATACAAAGACAGGCTACTGGCCTCATGATGTTTTAATAAACATTCTTTTTCCTACTTCCTCTTTAAAAAAACCTAGCTTCAATTTTTAATTGTTATTTTTATGAGATCCTGGGTTTTTTTTAATCAACTATAATCATTTGAAAACTTCAGAGAATAGCCAAAAAGCAGTTACTTGTCAAACAAAACAGTTGACTGAGCTTTCCACGGTTTTAAATCCAGTTGTCCTGCTGTGAGGTGGACATTAAGCTTTGACTTCTATAAATTAGGAAAGAACATTACAGCGCAAGGCTGATTTTTAGAAATCAGCTCTTGTTTAAACGACTTGAAGGCACAGATTCAACATATGGCGGCAGGCATAAATGTTTCCAGAAGCATTGGCGATGTTGAGGCTTTTGACCACACAAGGTAGGGAACTTTTCCCTGCCAACAGCCGTTTGGATATTTGTAGCGTCATTCACAGGCTACATAAAATGACCAACTTCAAAATTAGACTATAAATCAAGTCCCGGCTGCGACTGCCTTCGCAGGGCCAGACAAAATTATTTTGGCAGCCTTGCATGTAGTTCCCTGCTCCTACTAAGAGTTTTCAGAAGTCACCAAAAAAAAGCTCATATTTTAGAGGGAGAGATTCTGAGGTTCCGCCAGGAGTCAGCGATCATCTGCTACTCCAAGGTCATACAGTCCACCAGCACCGCTGGGCACAGTCCACCAGCACTGCCAGGGCTCCAGCCGCCACTGTGGGCAGAGTCCATCAGCAGCTGTTCTCCTCGCCTCTGCTGCTTTCTCTGCCTCTCAAAGAAACAAACATCGTTGTTTATTTAAGAAAAAAAGATGCCTACAACTTAGTATATTTTGTTTCTTCATATAAAAAGCAGATTTATTTATTTATCTATATTGGAAAGGCAGATCTATAGAGAGGAGAGACAGACAAAAGATCTTCTGTCTGATGAGTCACTCCCCAAATGGCTGTAACTGCTGGGAGCTGAGCCTATCCGAGGCCAGAAGCCAGGAGCCAGGAGCTTCTTCTGGGTCTCCCACACAGGTGCAGGGTCCCAAGGCTTTGGGCCGTCCTCTACTGCTTTCCCAGGCCACAAGCAGGGAACTGGATGGAAGTGGAGCAGCCAGGACATGAACAGGCACCCATATGGGATCCAGGCACTTTAACCGAGAGGATTAGCCAGTTGAGCCATCACATTGGACTCAGTTAAAATATTTTGATATGTCCAAAGCCATTCTCAACTATGCCTCAAATGACATAGGGAAAACTTCCTTTTTTAAAAGATGAAATTACAAATAAAGTGGTCATAACATCTCCTAATGATGCTTTTTGTCTTTCAAGAATAATCGCGATAAATTTCCAGATTGGTGAGCACAGGCTGAATCTAAACACGATCCAGCTCAAAGCTTTCCAATCGGATCAACTCTGTCTCTGCTTGCAAACACTCATTGTGTCAACTTCACCAAAGACGAAAAGGCACTCAAACTGACTTAAGTAACAAGTCCTGATTTACGCAGAAGCTTTATTTCAAATCAAAGCCATTATAAAAATAAAATAGGATTATGTATTCTACAATAAATCAAGACCAGAATTATCCCTAGGTAAATTACAGTTGAAAGCTTGATGTAGATCATATAAATGCAAATTTCAAAAATGTTTAATAACATGGATTTATAAAATTGAAACAAAAAATTTGCTATGGACCATTCATATTGAATTCAAAACAAACTAACGCACAAATAATCTATAATATTTCCTAATTTAATATTAACAGGATTATTACAAAAATATTTAACTTACCCAAATGAAGTAGTGTAAACTGGGCCGCCAGCTCCTTGGCATCTTCTAACGTAGTACACAGTTTGTCCGGCATGAAGTAACTCTGGGATCCATTTGCAATAGTAGGAATAACTATTTTATAAACCAAGAGTACTTTCCCATCTTGACTTGTTGTTGAATATAAATAATATTCTGGAGGTGCCCAATTATTTTTGTTGCAGTAATAATCCAAATGCATTACTGCAGAATTGAAATGATTGGATTTTAAAGAATACATACTAATTGGAGTCAGCTTTGTTCCAGGAAAAAAAGGGTAAGTGCACCTTTCCATTTCCGGGGGGCTCGGGCTGTGCTGCCCGTTGAGACGAGCAGGAAGAGCTGGCGGCTTGCCTAGAGTTTTGGGGTGGCTCTCTTCTTTGTTGGCAAACACAATCAGGTTTTCGGAATTGGGGCTAATCTGACCATTCAGATGCTGTCTCCAAGTGTTCTCCTTACTCACTGGCTTTGCCAGGGTTACCTCGATACTTGCCCCGTCGATGCATTTCCCATTCATAACAGACATGGCAGCCACAGCATCTTCTCGATTGAAAAAATGAACAAACGCATAATCTCTGAGCTTTTTAACTCGCTCAACAGCACCAGGCTTGAATTTATTGAATTCTGCTTTAATTGTTTCTTCTGTAGTTGAGATCATTAAATTTCTTACATAAAGAACTTTGACTCTCTGCATGGTTTCCTCATCAACCTCTTTCTCTGGGTCGGCCCAGTCCACCTGGATGGTGTGGCCCCACAGCTGGAATGTTCCTGTAAAGAAAGACGGGGCAACTTGAAGAGATGTCAAGCAAAGAAAACAAACCTAGCAATGCCAAGTCAAAGCACGTTTCCAAAGAAAAAATAACTCAAATTCTTCTCAATATATATGGGTAAGCATGCTTCCTACTCACATGAAAGTTCTTATTAACAAACAAACCTAACCAGGATTTGTGGTGGTGTTTACCACTCAAAAGACCTTTGCTAGAAGAATTGAGTTTTTCCCACTGGATCTTTGTAAAACAAGGATTAACAGTCCACTGAAGCATTTACACCCAGTACAGGGTCATAAATACGAATCATTCTCACAGAAACAATTTGCTGTTCTAGGCTCGTGTGATCTACTTCCTTACATTGTTCTCATGCCTTTTCGGGAATATATTTTAATAATTCTGACCTATTATTCAGTGTCTCTTGTCCTTGGAAAAGCAACTTCTAAAATGTGATTTTACCTGGAATTAGTTTTCTTCGAGCCATTGCAGCCGCTCTGTGAGACTCATATTCAACAAATGCAAAACCACGATTTTTGGTCTTATCAGTTGCACTTGGATAGACAATGACATCTACAACTCCTTCTGTAACTTTCTTCATTTCATCCAAAATTTCTTCTTTTTTCTTTTCCTTGGGAATAGCTCCAATAAATAATCTGCAATTATCCAAACTTACACACACACCGATAAACTTCCCCGGTCGGATTTCATAATTATTAAGTATTCTAATGGCTAACTGGGCTTCTTCTTTCGTAGTGTACATCACAAAAGCGTAACCTCGGTTTTCACCACTAAATTCCATCATAAGTCTAAATTCATAGATCTTCCCAGCTCTCTCAAATACAGGAACTAATTCATCTTCATACATGTCACGAGGTATTTTTCCTACAAAAACTTCACAGCCTCTAGGTGGAGGTGGACCTTCCCAACCTGGAACAGAAACATAAAACCACGCATAAAACTTCACCACATATCATCTATTCATTCAGCAATTTTCCAGTGGCCTTCCTAAGTGCCATGGGCTATTCTGTGTGTCAGGTATATAACAGTGAACAAAATAAAGCTCTTTGATTCGTAAAGCTACTATTCAGTGGGGAAGGGAGGCAGTTTGTGAGTGCTAAGTACTAACAAGAAAAATCAAAACTGCACAGGAGTGTTATCTGCAACAGGTAAATCTCTGGCACGTGAAGCTGAAGCAGAGACCCAAGTTCTGAGGGAATGAGCCAGGAAGATTTATTAGGACAAGGGCAGTTAGAGAAGAAAAAGTAAAGGCTTTGTATGTTACATCAACACGGAGTACGTCTATACAGCTAAAGGATGTACTTGAGGAAAAATGTGATGTAGCCATCAAGGTAACTACAAGCCAAAACTGTACTTTAATAGTTATAAAGGTATTTGGAGAGTTTTCCAGCAAAGGAATTTATCAGCTATTGATAGAAAGGCAAGCCACGTGTTAAGCTCTCATCTGCTTATATCTGATGTATTACTATTAAAGCCATTCTTCAACTCACTGCTATTTCAAATTCCTCTCCGAAAGACTTCCCCTTTCATTTCTGGAGTATCCTTTTCCCCCTGCCCTAATCTCATATTCTTTCCCAAACACCCAACTTATTTCCCAACTGCTTCTTCAATCAAAAGTAAGGTGAAGGTGGGAGTGATACTATAGTGCAGCAATTAAGCGGCCACCTGGGACCCTGCCATCACATGACTGGTTCATATCTCACCTGCTTCGCTTCCAGTTAGGCTCTGTCAATGCACGTGGGAAAGCAGCAGAAGCTGGCCCAACCACATGTACCCTGTGCTACCCCAGGAAGGCCCAGAAGGGTCTCTTTCCTGCTCTCCCCACCGCCCTGCTCTGCCTTTCAAACAATCTTAAAAAAAAAAAAAAAAAAAAGCAGGGTTGAAAAAAACTTAAGGATAAGATGTGTATAAAATTTATAATCTAACTCTTCCCCTCCCAAAGAGGAAATTAACTGATGAAGTCTTAAAGTAGTTAAAAGAGGCAAGGGGCAAATCATCCGGGATACTTTTGGAGATATACACCTAATCTAAAGAATATATTAAAGACTGAATTTAAAAGTACTGACTAAGCATCTAACATGAGCCATTCGAAATAGGTCCAGGTTGTCCCCAGACCTAATTGCCAGCAGATACTGGCAAAAAGAGCTCCACCAGCAGCAGGTGGGAAGGGAAGTTCACCGGGAACTTGGGAGGTAAGCCCAGACATAGAGCTGCAGGTATTGCCAATTTGCTTCATCCGATCACAGGCAGAAGCAAGAGTGGCAGAGCCCAAGTGCTTGGGTTGGTAACAGATTGGATTTCATGACCCAGATCCCCACCAGTGCCACACCAGGTACAATTCTGAGAACTGTGGCAAAGGCTCTTAGGGGGAGGGACAGGAGTGACATTCTAGATCCTAAAAGGCAAAGTTGTCAGCACTGAATAACTCACTCAGCAAAAATTTCCTGTCTTTAAAATGAAAGAAAATACCTTCACAGCAAACAAAAGGACACCACATAACGAGAAGGGATGCATTCAGCAAGGCAAAATCAGCATAATAAATGAATATACACTAAATGTCAGGGCACCTAGCTACCTGCAACAAACATTAATGGAATTTAAATAGACTCCAATACAAAAATACAGTAATACTGGGGATTCTTACATCTATGTTCATTGGGATCATCGTTCTATAGTTCTTCTTTTGAGAGTTTCCGTTGAATTTACTTTAAAAGCAGAGGGATGAATGAGCCCACCATATCTAAGACTCCTGCCACTTCTGCAGCAGTAGCACTAGCATTTTATTAGGCAGAGAGCAGCCATGACATTTTGTGGATAACAGCGAGTGAGATCATGTGTGCGCACTGTCAAGCTGAGAGCAAGCAGCTGCAAAGCCAGATGAGATCTGGAATGGGCATCTGCAAAGATGCCGCTTCCCAACCACAGTACAGGGTGCAGGAGCATCAGGCCCGGCATCCCCATGGAGCATTGGACCTTGGGTCAAGGTGCCGACAGCCCCCAGGGAACATGCTCTAGGCAGGATTCCAGACAGGCTCCCGGAGGCTCTGAGGAGGGAGGGCAGGCAGAGCCGGAGGCTGGAGGCCGTGGGAAGGGGAGCAGCGGGAGCAGCTTCCCCAGAGTTCTTTGTTGTGTCTCTATCTGGCCTTGCTGTTGAGGTGATGTGGGCTTCATAGGGAGTTGGGAAAGATTAACTCCCTTCTTATTGTTAAATGTATCTCGACAATAGGATGGTGGCCTTCCTACCACTGTCTATACGTACAACGTCCTGACACCCTTAAATATGAAACAGCAGAATGACGGACGCGTGAGCGCTGTTAAAGGACTACACTACCGTCAGAGTGGAAAAGTGCAGGGAGCAGCGGTAGCAGTGAGGAGGGTGGCTGGGGAAAATCTGAGCCTAGGGAACTGTATCATGCACAACAAATTTTAAAAAAGAGCATAAACCATATGCCCACCTGGAGGAGGCCCACCGAATTTCCTCTGCCCGTTTTCCTGGACCATGTTGTACCCAGTCTTTTCCATCAGCGCAAGCAGTGCTGCTTCGTTCTGAGTACCAGTTCGAACTTTACTACATCCGTTTGTCCCATCTGTACTTTCTTCATTCATGGCTGCAGTTCCTAAAACAAAGTTCAATAACAGCGTTTACAAGTTACTACCTCTAACACCAGGACTCTGTGAAGCACTCCTCTTGAGTTGCAAGAACCAAGCAGAGTTGTGGCTCTCACGTCTGACTGCCTTACATGTACTCCCCAAAACCCCGAAAAGCACAGACTCTTAATGCTGCTGACCAATTATGGAGTACCGTTGGGAGACCTTCGCTACGATAAAGGAAGGCAAAAGCAAACAAAGAACTAAGAATCACAAGACACAGCCGTTATAAGTCAAAGGAAAACCAAACATGAAGCCACCAATGAACACAAGCTTACTGTCTATCTCCCATCTGAGGTTTACATTATTTTACAATACAAGCAAACAGGATTTTTCTGTGACTTGCACTTGCCAGATACATGCAGTCTAATGGCAATATCTCTAATGTTGTAAGTAATCCTCACACCCTTCCCCAGTGATGAGAGCTCAAACAGACACTTAGGCAGGCAGAAGTTCCAGTCTCTGTTGCCACCTTCCGAATGTCACCAGAGCCCAGTGTTCACCCTAGCAGCGCCAGGAGCAGCTGTGGTTTCCAACCAGCAGTAGCTTAGGAAATGTTCCTCAGCAGACGGGCAGGAACTCCTGGCAAGGAGCCGAGCTCTCTGGTGGCCACTGTGTGCAGTTCTAAGTGTGGAGTTGGGGGCTGCTGTTAGGATAGGGTAGGTTAAACTGTTGCTGGTGTTGCAAGCAGCCCAAAAGTGTGCTCATGGTGTGAGTCCTGGCCAAATGCCCAATTCACCTCCTTGCTAAGGTGCCTACGGAGGCAGAAGATGGCCCAAGTGTGTGGCCTTAGTATTCCTGGCTCCTGGCTTCAGCTCGGCCCAGCTCTGGTTATTTGCAATCACCTAGGGAACAAACCAACAAATCTAAACCTCTTTCTGCTTTTCAAATATATATATAAAACCGTAGTTTAATCTTTAAAATGATTTTAACTACCATCTCTTTTAGGATTTTTCTCCTAAAGAGCAATGCAGTAGTTCACCTTTTTCCCCCTCATTTAGAATTATGAATAAACCCTAATGTAAAAATTCACAATGCAGAGTATATACTAGGAAAGCTATTTGCTTTCCAATAGAATCTTTTTAATTGTAAATAAAAACCAAGTCACTATTGCCACCAGGTTTTAAAAGTGTGGTATTTGGAGCCACAATAGCTCGATTCTAGCTATGTAACCTTGAGAAATGCACTCAATTTCTTTTAAAAATAACATTTTCATTTAAAAATAGGAGCACCAATGTAAATTTATCACAGGCTGCTGCCAAGATTCAACGAGAACACGTAAAGGTTTGTCCCCATTCCACAAGGTTTAAAGGCCAGTTCTGATAACCACCAGTGGCAATGCATACTCGTGTTTCACGCACCCCCATCTGGCACAGGCAGCACGTCTTCTCAGAAACATGCTCACGTTCTCGCAGGTGGGGCGCCAGGCCCGCGTCCACCAGTGGGCATCTGCATCCCCTCCGTGGAGTCTCTGGTGGGAGTGGCAGTGGGAAGAGCCACCTGGACAACAGAAACTGTCACTGCAGTAACCCAAGAGCTCCACATAAACCGCAGTGGCTCTGCAGACAACTGCTTTGGGTTAAACCCTTCTTTTCACTGACTGACTTTGTAAATGTGAGGACGTTATTTAGTCCCTCTGCACCTCCCTCCATCTCTCATATATAATTTGCAAGTAATACTAATACCTACTTCAAAGAGTTGTTATAACAAACCAGTTAATGAGTATAAAGCATCTATAAGACTCATTCTGCATGCTTAATACAAAAGTTTTAGTCAAATGCTAGTTTTTATGCATTCATTGGAACCTCTGAAATCATTAAATATCTACAAAGTAACTAACTGTAGTTTTAAATTAGTGATTTAAGTTTTTAAGAGGAACAGCTTCAAAGACTGATAGTAAATAGAATGACGATGGCAGGCAGCTCGCTCTGCTTTGTGGCTCCACTGTAAACGCCTGGACAACTGACGCAGTCCTTCCATGCTCTACGGCGACTGGAAGAAAGTATCAACTGTGATTCAAAACTGGAGAAACTGTACCGCCCAAGACCCCGGAGCCAGCAAGTGGCGGAGGTCTTCTGGTCCACGAGCATACCCCCCGCCAAGAAATCTGGTTTGGCACTTTTTTGCCACAACACCATCTCTAAGCCCTCTGGAAAACTAAGACTCTCCCAAGCTGACATGCTCAGAAAGAATTTTCAGAAAATATAAGCTGACACAGCTAAATTTGGTGATTCTGGGGCCTTCCTTGCTTTAAAGGCACATGTTATCATACACCACACATAAACAAATACTCTGTCTTTAAAGCGGCTCCTGAGCTAGCATGATATTGAATACAATGGATTAACAGGAAACAATCGCAGCAGGAAAGTACATCATGAGCCCAGAGTTCCTAAGCACCAAGCACACCCTTTCCTAAGCCAGTATCCCTAGCCAACTTTTTCCTTCTCATGCCAGGATTCATTTATCAAACTTCCTGACTACTGAAGATGGGATATGTGCTAGGCACACTGAACTCAGTACAGCACAAACTCGAGTCATTTACCTTATAGTTCAACCAGTCCATCCATTCAACCAATACGTGGCACAACAAACCTATGCCACTTCCTCCCAAGTTGCCAACAGGATCCTGAGAAGCATCCCAAGTTTGAGTCACAGCTCCTCAGTCACAAACTCCTTCCCTACAGATTTTGTCTAAGTATTTCTTGAAATCAGCCTTTTCCTGCACACCCCTCCTATCGTCTGTATTCTAGACAATTACTCCCAGACAGTGCTGGGCTGCCAAGTGCTGTTCCCACTTTTACTTTTGTACCTCTCAAAGAAAATCTATAATGATGTAAAGCTAATAGGAAATATACTCTTTCTCATTTCAGGACGACCACTTCAAATAAAAACTAATGGAAAATAAGTAAACTTTTAAAATATTAGAATCCAGAAAGCTCTTGTAAAACACACAACCCCAACTCTAACCCTCAAAAATATTAATAATTTTGTTCTATTAAGTAATTTAGAAGCCAAAACCAAACTGTAAAAAAAAATTACGAAGGAAGACAAATGATCTGTAATATATGTGATTAAAAAATAACTTTTTGTTAAAATTTAAAAAAGCAATCAACGGTGTTCTTAAAAGCAGGTTCAGGCATCAGATTGCCCAAATCCAAACCCCACTTCTTGCCTTTCCTAAACTGTGAAATCAGGCAAGCTATTTAACCTCTCAATGCTCTATTTGTTTGTCTATAATGATAGTTTACATATCACAGGGTAAAATGACCCCAAGAATTCACCTCAAAATGCTTCCTACAGTCCTTTGCACACAAACACTATAAATACACTTACTAATGTTAATATCTGACAAAACAGGAACAGATGTGCTTTAGATTTTTCCCTTAGTAAAAATGCTTTCAATGTTAGTTCTGTCACTTAATGACTGAGGGAAATATATCAGAAGACTCTAAAAATGCTACTGGTAAAGGGACATGAGAGAGTATCTTTGGTGTTGAAAAGATCAAAGAGAGGGAGCCAGGGGAGGGTGGACAGCTTTTAACCTTCTCAGGAGATGGGCTTTTACAATGTAGCTTGACTGTTTAGGAAAACAAAATTCCTCAGAATACTGTATGCCTGTTCTTCCGATACGAATACATTTTAAAATGAATTCTCAGGCCCAGGTAGTACAGTTGGGCGGACATTCTGTGACATTACAAAACAGAGTGCTGGTTGTTTAAAGAATGCAGAATCCAGCTACTTCTTAATGGTTAGAGTAGGGCAGTTTTAAGATATGTCCTAACTCGATTAGGTTTACAAACATGAACAGTTAGTCCTGGAAAAGCAGGTAAGTCAGAATGGGACACGAGTAGGTAAAAGAACAGATGCAAGTGGGAACAGCAGGCAGGCTGAATTCCCAAGTACGATCACTGAATCCTGGCCAGGACAGACTCGGGGCTGTTGTTAACAGCATGCTTTTATATCACACAGCTGCGCAGAGCAATAACGGGATCTCTGTGTGCTGGTAGACTTTCACATTTTGACCACTGATTTTAGCTAATCTCACACCTTGTACTTCATGGTCAAATTTGAGTAATGTGACATCAGATTAAATAAGTAAAACAATAATTAGATTCCTGATGAAAATCTTAAAAACCTCCTAACATAGGTAACATACATACATTTAGTTCACAGCTAAAAATTAATATCTAAATTTAACTCCATGTTAATTTAGCCACTGGTAACTCTAAACACACTACACTTCAAAAAATATGAGCCAGGGAGCTATAATCAACTCTAAAGCAAGCACACAGTAACTTTTTACCACATTCTAAAATGCAGGTACTCCAGAGTCAATCTGAATTATCTCCACGTCCCCGGAAGCAGGGCAGTCCGACCCAGGGTGGGAGCTGCCCAGCGACCGAGGCTTGCAGTTGGCTCCACTAGACCTGCGCCGCTGCCAGGGGAGGACTCCCATTCCAGAGTGTCCTCCGGTGTTCAGTAATTCTTCTCTAGCTAGTTTTAAAAAATTAAATTAACAGCATTGGCAGGCATTTGGCGTACCAGTTGAGGTGTTCAGTGGAACCCAGGCCCACTTCAGACTGCCGGGTTGTTTCTGGCAGCATGTCCTGCATGAAGCTGCTTCTTGCTAACAGACGCTGGGGACAGCACTGATGATGCTGGCACCCACGGGGAGACCGGAACCCAGCATGCGGTCCGCAGCCTGCGGCTCCAGGCCAGCGACCCAGGCAGCCGGGGGCCAGCCTGCAGGTGGCAGCTCATCTCTATCATCCTGCCTCCTCTTTTTCTTTCTTCCCGTCTTTATCTCTCAAGTAAACACATTTTAAGAAACTAAAAAAAAAAAAAATACTAAGCTAAGAAACAGCAGCAAGACAGCACAGCCAACACAGCCAACCACAAGAAGATATTCAAGCAGCAATCCAAACACGTCTTTAGGCAGTAATTACATATTTGTTAATTTTCCTAATAGTTAAAAAAATTGTAATTTTCAGATCTGTACTTTCAAAAACAGAAAACACTGATAAAAAATGAGAAGCATGCTACTAGCAAAATGTTAATGAAAATTAATCATCAGAGGAATTTGTTCCAACTGTACCTTAACTATTTTTAAAGCTTTGTCTTCCAAATTATTGTGAAACTTTCTAAAGTAAAAGTAAACTTTATACAAAATTCTTACTGTGGATTTTAAAAACTACATGTAATATTGGGAATAATTTTAAGATATCAAAATATTTTTATAAAGATACATCAGTTCCTCACGACATCCCTCAAATTTCAAATTTCTCTGTATTAAATTTCTCCTTGTTGAGAATGGTACACCAAGACCAAGCTTTGCCAGGGCAATGGAGGACTTATCTTTTTTAGCAGTAATTCATTTCAGAGCTAGACTACAGTATAAAAAATGTCTGAAAAATGAGAATTAATCAAAAGTATGTAGAATTAATCAAAAGTATGCTCTGTGCCTTTGGATCCAGACACATTCTTCTCTAAATTACACGTTCACCCCCACCTCCTTTTCTTTGCAATGCTGCCCCTTTGCACACAGTGACCACACTGGCATTCCTCATGCCCTGGCCTGGGCAGCCCTCACCAGCTAAACTAAACAGGAAACTACCCCGCGTTCAATGGCAGACCAGGGCAACCTTCACACCAGTTATTCTGAACTCTATCCACAAACCCCTCAAGCTGATATATCTAAGTTTCCTAATAACAAAAATAACATCATTAAACATAAGGCCTAATTCCAGTCTACAAATTGGGTATATTCGCATTACGAATGGCTCCTGCCTCACCATATATTCAGAACTGCAGGTTTTAATTTAAGCACTGGTATGTATCACATTCTTTGGCAATAACAGTTACCTCCGGAGATGAAAAGGACCGGGTGACTGGGACGCCGAGGAGGAGGCACCGCTGTGTCTGGAACCTGCAGCATATTAACTAACCATCTTTACGTCTACAAGGGAATGTAACTGCAAACAAACTTTTATAACTGTTTTAACTGTGTAACCCTGACAACAAGTCCACCCTTACACAGCCAACGGAGAGCTTACTGGGTCTGAGGAGTGCTTGTCAAACTACCTAAGGTACAGACGGTGAGGGCCTCATGGACGCCACACCGCCCCATCACTCCCACAGAGCTGTACTGGCACGGGGACACCCCGTTTCTGCCAGTCTACCGAAACCTGCAACGGAAGCACAGAGTCAGGCCGGACTTTCACACAGAAACCTCCTTGTGGAGGGTCTCTCTGCTAGGCTTCCACCGTAGGATTTTCCAATAATAATAACAATAATAATGAGAACGATAATAACAGCCCCAGGGGCTTTATTACTAAGGTAAACAAAACAAACAACAACAAAAACCTCGGGGGCCACCCTGACACTGTGCAAACGCAGACTCCCGCCACCCCAGCCCCGCACGGACTCCCCAACCCAAGGGGGGAGAGACGTGACCGCCCCCAGTCCCACCCAGACGTCGGGACGCCAGGGACACGGAGGGATGGAGGGACGCGAGGGACGCGGGGGACACGGGGGACACGGTGGCACGCAGGGGGACACGGAGGGACGCGAGGGACACAGAGGGACACGGGGGACACGGAGGGACGCGGGGGACACGGAGGGACACGGAGGGACACGGAGGACACGGAGGGACGCGAGGGACGCGGAGGGACACGGAGGGACGCGGAGGGACGCGAAGGACGCAGAGGGACACGGGGGACACGGAGGGACGCGGGGGACACGGAGGACACAGAGGGACGCGGGGGACACGGAGGGACGCGAGGGACATGGAGGGACGCGAAGGACATGGAGGGACGCGGAGGACACGGAGGGACGCGGAGGGACGCGAAGGACGCAGAGGGACACAGAGGGACGCGAAGGACACGGAGGGGCGCAGGGGGACGCGAGAGACGCGCGGGAGGAGCCAGCCCCACGGCCCGGACCTGCAGCGCACAAATGTCAGGGAAGCAACACGGAAGGCCTGCAGGTGGGAAGGAGCCGGAAGGAGACGGAGTGAACGGAAATTGGCCGCCCGGGAGAGCAGCACGGGCGGAAGGAGCGGCCCCCTCACGGCGGGCGAGCGAGCACGGGCCTGTGCGGCTTGCTCGCCGGCCGCTCGACGACGGGCCGCCCGTCGCAGACACCGTCCCCCCAGCCCCGAGCCCGGGCGTGGGGCGCCCGTGGGCCACGTCCGGGGACGTGACAGGTTGAGTGGGAACAGGGCGGACTTGGGCCTGAGGGGAAGGGGGGAGGGGGCGCTGCGGCCGTTAGTGGAATATTCGGCGGCCATCCCGAATCGTTCCCCCATCATCCTCCACCTCACCCCTTTCGGGTCTTCCGAGGTTGGTCCTAAAGCCTGGGGACCAACGACCACAAACGGCCGCCGCCGCCGCCGTTTCGGGGCACCGGTGGGTCAGAGCGGGTGGGGGGCGGGGAGCCCAGAGGCGGGAGCTCGCGGCCGCCGTCCGTCCTCGCGCGTCGGGCCTGCTCGTAGCGGGCGGCCCGGGCGGCCCCACGCGGACGGCCGCCACGACCTATCAGGGGCCGGCCCGGGGAGGATGGACAGCACCAAGGGCGGGACCAAGGTTTAAATATGGAGAAAGAGGCGGACACGGACCTTTGACTGACAGGCTCCCTGGCCAGTGGGAGGCCAGACATCCTGACCCTGTTTTTGCAAGGCGGCTGCGTCCAGCCCCTCTTGCGTCTTGTGAACATAAACTATAATTTGAATCTCTGTAAGGGGGGGGGGGAAATTCCTCCTGAGTTTAACTTATTCATCAGTCTATTCCTGAAAATACTATTTAAGAAAAATTGTACTTTTCTATATGTAAAACTAAACGAGTAGCTTTCAACCTTTTTTTCTGAGGTTCCTAGGAAAAGAAGTATAAGATACTTTTCCCGATGAAAGCTACTTTTCACGACTAGACTGTAAGATGTGTTCTCTGTTTAACAGCAGACAGACGCACACCATGAATGGCTGCAAAGAAGCTGAGCGTGAGAAAGCACCCGTTGATGGAGAGGTGAGCCCTGCAGCCGAGAGGGGGAACTAGCGCATTAGCTGAGGGACACAGGAACAAAAATTATCCCAATGCAAACAAGTAGAAGTGCCAAAAGGGACCGTGAAATGCAGTTAGCTGGTAGCATCTGGATTCATATAAAATGCAAGCTTTTTTTTTTTTTTTTTTTTTACTATTTAGAAACCGTTTTTCTTTATGTTCTGTAAAATACAAACCTCCGGAAGGGAAGGCAGGCAGTGGGGAAGTCCTCGGTCATGTTTCACTGTGCACGTGGGAAGGCAGCTGAGTGAGTGCAGGACCTCAGGCCCCCACGCACTGCGAGACCTTAGCACTGAGACACTGAGTCCTTAGCTCAGGGCCCGGTTCTGATTAAGGCTTCCGGTTGGTGAGAGCTCTCTGTCTCTTTTATCTCTGCTTTTCAAATATATCAAAAGAAAGACACAGAAATTTTATCGCATGAAGTGACTAAATGAAAGTGAAGGAGAGGTTCTTACACGGTCTCCCAAACTGCTAACTCCCGGTTGTCATCTGTAGCTCATTGCTCTGTAGAAGAATCTGATGCCTCGTTTTCACATTATGAGCGGGCTAGCTCATGTCATTCAGGACTTGTAGAAGTTGTCAGTGAAAGTATTTGGAAACCAATGGACATTTGACTTTAGTGTTCGAGTTTTGCACAACTTGTGCTGCTCATGTTCATTTCTTCTGTGGATTGAAAACATAGTGAGGCTTCAATTCCTGCAGATTCCTGGGGAGACCTTCCTTCCAGAATTCTCTTCAGCATCTAGACATGTTCTTCGCTGACACAGTAGAGGGATGCAGCGTTTCAGTAGCCCAGGCGTCAGGGGAAGAAGGTTCCAGAACATGTGCAAGATCACCCCATAAATGTCTGTGTAGCACGTGTTGATTTATGAGCATACTAAAATGCAAACTTTTTTTTCCCGTTGAGTTAGAGTGATAAGACCATGGTTATTGAATTTTGCAAAGAGAGATTTCAAATGCTGGCAGTATCATTAAATGCAAATTATTTAGTTCCCCAAAGTGTGCATTTCCAAGCCTGTAACATTTATATCAGTATTTTCTTCCTTGTCTGTTTATTATCTAGAATAAATAAGATATTGCATCAGTCAGGCTAGGATAGACTGTGCTGTATTAACAATCCAACAGATCTCGGCTTTAAACAACAGAGAATTGCTTCTTGCTTGAGCTGGAATGGCTGTGGCCCTAATCCAGGCCCTTTCCTGAAGACCCCAGGCGTTGGAGCACCTGTGCTTGGGGCATGGCAGGTCGCCGTGGCAGAGAGAAAGTGGACGCTGGAAGAGGCCCCATGGCAGTTACATGCTGGAATCTAAAATGGCGCATGTGCTTTGCAAGTACAGGCAGTGAGACAGTGGTCAGCCGTCGGAGATTCTCTTGTTCTTCCAGGTGAACAGTGGACAGTCCTGTGTCTTGTGGGGTATTTCAGTACCTGCCACACCCTCCCGTGCCTGTCCCTCTTCAGCATGGACTCTGCAAGTGGACAGCGACTGCCAAGTGATCATGCCAAATGACAGGCTGCCACATGATGGCGTTATCTTTGAGCATCTTCCAGATCTGCTGTCTGCACTTGACACTGGCCACTGGGTTGGTCTCTCTGGGGTCCTCCCAGCAGAAAGCGCGGTGGGCGAGCTTCTTAGAAAGCAGGGGCAGTACCCACAGCCTTGGCCCCAGCACACAAAGGAAAACAACTTACTTGATGTTTTCCCTTTAAAAGTTGCACTATCTGTAAATCAAATCATCATTAGCAGATTCTCTTGGGACACATCCACAGCCTGAGGTAGAAAATGCCTGAAAGAAGCTTCTGGAAGACAGCCAGAGGTTTGCAGGACCAAGATGAGGAAACACAGAAACCCCCTGAGGAGCTGCTGCAGGCGAGGAGGGCCGGTCAGGACCGTGCCTGAAATAGACTGCCTTCATTGCTGTGTGCTCATATCATTGAGCTGTCAATAATACAAGCCTTTATCTAAGGTACAAAAATAAGGAGCGTGGGCCTGGCGCTGTACCCTAGCAGCTAAAGTCCTTGCTGTTAGTGCAGGTTCTAATCCTGGCAGCTCCACTTCCTATCCAGCTCCCTGCCTGTGGCCTGGGAAAGCAGTGGAGGATGGCCTGAAGTCTTGGAACCTTGTACCTGTGTGGGAGACCCAGAAGAGCTCCTGGCTCCCGGCTTCAGATTGGCTCAGCTCCAGCCGTTGTGGCTGCTTGGGGAGTGAATCATTGGACAGAAGATCTTCCTGTCTGTCTCTCCTCCTCTCTGTATATCTGCCTTTCCAATAAAAATAAATAATGAATAAATTAAATAAATCTTTTAAAATTTTTAAAAATAAATCTTTTAAAAAAAGATAAAAATATTTACTTAATATTTATTTATTGGGAAGACAGAGATAGCTGTCTCAGCTGCTGGCTCAGCTCCAGACACCCACAGCGGCCCGGGCGGGCCTGGCTGATCCAGGGCTTCCTCCAGGTCTCACATTTGAGCGACAGGGACAACTCCTCGGCCCCTCACATTAGCAGGAGGCCAGAAGTGGCAGCTCGCAGCCACAGCAGCTGAGGCACCTCAACCAAGAGTATGAGTGGCCCACAGGGCAGCTTGCTGGCTATACCCAAAGGCCTCATGACATCATGCCACCTGGTAGATCTCTGGGAGTGACAAGGTCATATCATAACCGTATGGGTGTGTGACCAAAGCCGTGGCCAACTTAAATAGCATTAACAACAGATACAAACTCCTGCTAACGCTTAGGAGTTTTTGATTTTTTTCCCTTCTGTCCTTCTAATACTGATTTTTTTTCTATGACTGTGGACATTTTGCATCCCAAATGCCCGACCTACTCAGACCTCCGCTTGTGCTTTGCAGCAGTTCGTTTCCTTGCTCACAGACACAGGATGGACGTGCTTCCGGCTCCACTTCCCCTCTGCCAGCTGTCCCGGTCCTCCTGCGCAGCTGCTCTTGTGTGGACTATTTTTTGTTGTGGACTATTTGCACATCCTTATAAGTAATTTTTATTAGTCATTTACTTCATCCAAATTCCCCTGTGATTGTCTACACTTCTTTTCCATAGACTGTTGCCCCCGCCAGTCTTTCCAAGGTGGCCTTTGAGTGCAGACATTCTGAGCCTGATTGTCTGACATCCCAACTCCGTCACAGTTAGGTTGATAGTTTTTTTGTCTGCAAGCTTTTACTTTTCCAGTTCTTTTACTTCCGCACCTTAAACTGGTATTTCATTGTCTTCTTGAATGTAGAGTTTTGGAAAGTCTGTTGTGACACTAATTTTGTCTCTGAAGGTTTTTGTTCTTTCTGCCAGCATGTATAGCTTCCATTCTCTTTTGTCTGTTACACACAGACAAAATATTAAATTTCACCATGATGTATCAAGACATACTTGTTTTAAAAAGATATAGTTGTTATTCTTAAAGATTTATTTATTTATTTGGAAGTCAGAAATAGAGAAGGAGAGACACCGAGAGAAAGAGGTCTTCCATCTGCTAGTTCACTCCCCAGATGGCTGCAGTGGCCAGGGCTGAGCCAGGCCAAAGCCACAGCTTCACCCGGGACACCTACCTGGGTGGGAGAAGCTCAGATACTTGAACTGTCTTCTGAAGCTTCTCCATGGCCAATAGCAGGGAGCAGGATTGGAAACAGAGCAATTGGGACGTGAACCGTTGACCCTATGAGGCACCTGCGTTGCTGGCAGCAGCTAAACCCTGTACACCGCAGCGCCAGCCTCTGTTTTCTTTAAGCACTTCCTTCCTTCTGTTTGGTTGTTCTCTTTAGTGACTCCTGTTACATCATAGATAGGTATATTTCCTTTGAATTGTTCCTTATAGCTTCCCTGTCTGTCCGAAAAGCAGAATCAGTGGGATCAAGGGACTCGGCGATACCTGCCATCCACTGGTTCGCTCCCTTAAGGGCTGGAATAGCCAGGACCAGGCCAGGCCAAAGGCAGGAGCCTCTTTCCACAGCTCCCACATGGGTACACAGGACAACGTTCCCTGTCCTCTGCTACATTCCAGGTGCATTATCAGAGAGCTGGGTACGAAGTGGAGAATCAGATACATACATGATGCTAGCACTGCAGGGGGCAGCTTAACACACTATACCTATCCTATCTCTTTGTGATAATATTTATTCAGAATTAGCTTTTTGCAAAAAAAAATTCTTACACTTACTCTGAGTCTTTGAACTCATTTGATCTTCATTACAATCCCTCAGGGTACGTGACGTGGACAGTCAAGGTGTGGACCCCGGAGTGAGATGCCTGGAGTCAGATCTCAACTGTTCCACCGACAGACACCTGACCAAGTCACTTGATCAGCAGCCATGCTCCAGGTAAGAAAATAACTGGCACATAGATTTCAACACT